TTCCTAAATACGTATGTTTTTCTCTCTCCTCTCACCATCTCTCATTTTTCCCTCCCTCTCCATTGAACATCTCTCTCCCTCTCTTTCCTTTGTTGACGGAAGCTCCTCCATTGTGGAGCAAAAGAGAGCTTCCCCTTCACCTTATTTCTTCATTTGCTCCATTCTCCTTCAATAACTAAGAGACTTAGAGAGAAAACCCCACCCCTTTGTTGACCCATATGGTGCGCCCACAAGGATGAAGCAAGGAGGAAGAGTTTCCTCCATAGAAGCTTGAAGGAGTTGGGCTTCTTCTAGACTTGGAGACCTTAAGTAAGTTCCATGGCCCTTTTTGGGGTTTGTAATACCTCGTGTGCACCCGAGTATTAAACATATAAATGGTAATAAGCGCAGCTCAATAAATTCGGAAGCTAAAAATTTTCCATTATGAACCTTATCATGTTAACTTAGCGAATCTTTTTCAAAAATCGCATGTATATAAATTGCAATAAATAGTAAAACTGAATAACCTCATAATATAAATAATGTATCAAGTCATGAAACTACAACACGTAGACCAGACATGTCCTGATACAATAATACAACTCTAGTCTGAAATAAACACAGCTTATTCAGATGTGGCATAGACAACCCTCATGCTCACCAAATAAAGCAACAAAGTCAGCTCATGTCTCAAATACAATAACCATAAAGGTATAACAACAAGACATAAATCATAATAACATAACAAGGTGCATGCATCATCTCAACTCAACTCCGACCTCCTGTCGCTAGAGGTCTCAACCTTAGAAGTACATGTACCTGAAAATGTGCCTCATACGGGATGAGATCTCTAACAAGAAATCTCAATAAAACAAAGGGTCCTCAAGGATCTCTCCACCCCAAGCTCACTTACATGTGCAATATAAGTTCAAAAATGATAACAATAGTATAATGTGCAATGCAGCATATGTCCATGTCATGTGTGTATGCATCGTACTGGCCAGAGAATAAAACGTAGGTATTATGTACGTCTACAGCCCACAGTACAAGGAGTTCACCCTGTATCTCATACTCGGAGTTACCATCTTGCATGTGGCCCAACATGCTCAGGGATTACCGTCTCGTGTGGCATACCCCACATACATATCCATATGGCAAATGCAATATAATAATAATCCAGCTCAAAAGCATATCCAATATTCATCATGTAAACAGATATATTTTCAAAAAACACATAATGCAAATAAACCATCCCTCTATGAGCTTTGGGGAACCATCAATGGGTAAAACTGAAGACACGAAAGCTTACATGTAGTGCCAAAATCCCTATCCAAAGGCTTGGTATACACAGATACACCAATAGTCACACAATCAGACAATTGCAATCTGTTTTAAATCAAAACATTATTAATATTCAGAATCCCAAATTTCATATCCATTGAACAATGTTTTCTTTTTCGTTTAGTGACTCAAGTCCCTTCTAAACCATAATTATAACATGTTAACCCTCACTATTATTTGTATTTATTCTTTCGACAGTAGCACTGACTCCCTTGGGTATCATACCCTAATTTGGGCTTTCCAACGCATCAGAACTGGTTTTCTGGTCTTTCTGACGGGGGTAATCGATTACTTCACACGGTAATCGACTACTACGCGAACAGAACACGAAAACTGCTAATTTTTCTGCATAATCAACGGGTTCATGGCTTCCAAGGGTCCAAGGTCTAATTTTTCATCAAACAGAAGTTCAAACCACATGATTAAACATAGATATACCATATTTTACATGAATCATTAATGTTTCAACTTATTACTTTACAAACTAACTCATTTTCAAGAAACTACAAGGGGAGTGGTTTGTAGTTACCTATGGACCTTTGAAAAAAGAAAAATGGGAAAGCTTTGAGGACTTTGAAGGTGTTTCAAGCTACTGACTTGGTGGTGCACGAAAATCCCACTCCGAGGTAGGTCATTTCTTCACAAAGTTTGGTTCTTGAAGCTTCACAGAGTATAATCATGGTTCACACTCTAAGAACTCAAGTGGTCAGCCCTCCTTCTTATGAAAACAACAAATCAAACTTTCAAGACATGATCTTTCCCTCACAAGACTCAAGTTTTACAAGGAATGGTGATGATTTAATGGCATAAGATTAGAGAAATATGATGAAAGGTGGATTCTTGGCTAAGTTTCATGCAAAAAGCTCAAGCTTTCATGAAGGAGGAGAGGTGACAGCCATAGGGATCAGCCTTGGGATCAGAAAAATGACCTAAGGCTTTGTGACAATGGCTATTTATATAAGTGTGCCCACTAATCAACAATATTAGTTCTAATAGCTCCGCTAATCATTTTTCTACCAAACTTCATATTCTGAACCTAGACATTTTTCTATGAATTATCATATTTTAATTATAATTTTTAGAAAAACTTCACTGGTACGCCTTTTATACATAGCCGATATTAGTTCTGATATCACTGTTAATTATTTTTACCCCAAACTTGATATCCTGGAACTAGATTTTTTTTTTAGGAATCTTTGTATTTTTATTATAATTTTTCGGAATACTTCACCGATACAATTTATACCGAGAAGCAGAATCGGTATCTTCACTTTTCATCAGAAAAGCGATTTAAGCATTATTTATCCTTCTCAATAATTATTCTAATCTTTCTATATTTATCCAAAGTCAATTATGAAATTATTTCCTAAACTCATAATTAAATTATTTAAATTCCTAAATTAATGGAGCAGGTTCTTACAGGGTTGGTTAGATTTTGTGAAAATGGGTTTAGGGTTTCATGGAAATTTAAGGGTTTTGGGATTTAAGTCATAAATGTGGTAATTAGTGCTTAAATCCTTATCATGGTGTGTAGGAGTATTGTTGATTGTGTTGAAATTGGAGCGAAACAACCTTGAGCTAGGGATTGTATTCTTGAAATTCCAAGAGTTAGGTTAAGCTTAAATTTGAGCTCATGGAGAAACTATAATCATAGACTTGAGCATTTATATGTATATGTGATGTTGATTGTTTTCCACCTTGTGAATAGGTTCGATTAAGTTGGATTGATTGGTATTGTCTTGCTTGGATCAAGAGGAATTTGAGAATATAGGCTTGAGAAGTAAACCCTTGGACCTTGGGATTAGTCCCCTTTGATGTTTCTCCATACTCCATTGGGAGTAATAGTTGTATAGATTGATGTATATGTGTATTAAAATTAGTAATATTGCTTGATTAGAAAATTATACTTGTGTATGATTGAGGAGGTTCCCTGGCCATGAGAATATGAATATATGGACCTCCTTTGAAACCAGTTTCGTGGAGCAATTCCTTGTGGTTGAAACCTGAGAGGAGGAGCCTGTACTTCTCTCGGAAGTGTCATATGTGCATTCCTTTGTTGGCAAGTTGGCTAATGGAATGACTCTAGTATATATATATATATATATATATATATATATATATATATATATATATATATATATATATATATATATATTTCTCTTGTCACCTGAGATAAAATTATCTCATGCAACCCCAAAACTATGTTGTTTTGAGGGCTGAGGAAATTAATGAGGGGTATTTTAATAATTTTGTTTATTTATTTATTATATGAATTTTACTAAAATACATTTCATTAATTCCTCAAAACGACGTAGTTTTGAGGTCACACACACACATATATGTTTGTATGTGTGTGTGAGAGAGAGATAACTTTATCTCTTTGCGTGTGTAGAAGAGTCTCTAAGGACTTTTATTTATTGAGATTGTTATCTCACCCCGTGTGGGAAATTATATTTCAGGTATAACAAGTGATGGAATTGGGACATCCCATGGCAAAAAGCCAGTTTAGGGCGTGATGTCCTTTTGATTGGAACATGGCAGGACTTTCTTTTGGAAATGTATATTTGAACTTTTAAGATATGAGAAGTTGTATAATTGGTCATGATGTCAAAAGGAAAGTCAAGTATGTGATAGACTTTATTTTTTGTGTGGAGTTAAGTGCAAGTGGACAATGTAATGTAATTGTATATTTTGATTCGCTACTTATGGCTAGCATCTATCTAAGAAGCACAATGTAATTATCTAATGGCTTGATGCCAAGAACATTGGGTTCACGGATGAAACGTATATCTTGAAGTTAATTATCATGAAGGCTGTTGAGATTGTTATTAGGTGCATTGGAGATGTGCTTGTTCTTGAAAAAGAGATCTATTGCCTCAAAAGAACATTTCAATTTCCTGGAGAACGCAATAAATCGCTAAAACACGCTAAGGAAAATTCTCTCGGGGTGAGCGCCCTGCAAAGTGCTATAGCACGCTAGAGAAACTTGAAATTGCTCACTCGAGCTTGCTATAACATGCTCGAAGGCGCTAAAACGCACTCTAAAACAATGAAAACCCATCAAAGTGTGCTTCAATGCACTAGGGCGCACTACAACATGCTAATGGAAATAAAAATACATGATGCACACGCTATGCGCGATGCAAGGTAAATTTTATGTGCAGGAGCACACTAAAGCGCGCTGGCTCTGTACCTTAAAATCATGTTTTACCCCTCTTGGCCTATGTGGGCCACATATTGTTTTACCCCTCTTGGCCTATGTGGGGTTGTAAGCTATTATTGTAAGATACTCCTATCTAAAGTAGAGTGAACAACTAAGGAATTAAATGCATATTGGAATTATTTTAAAAATGAAAAAAATTATTCATAATTTTACTTTAAATAATCACAATCTTAGCTGCGCTTAACATCATAATTAGTGATAATACACCGGATGTACACAAGTTGTTTGAGAGTAATGTTGAATCCATTTGTTGGTACTATAAAATTCCCTTGAGTTTGGATATGGTGATTGGTGCAAAAATAAAAGCTACATATGTACCTTACAATAGTACTAATTTTATCCCCTTTTTAATTGTTTATCAAATGTGAGTATACCCGTAGGATGTAGAGACTTTGAAGTACAGAAGCGCACAAAAAAAAGAAAAAAGAAAAATGCAACTCTAAAAAATGCACGTTACTGGCACTGCTTAAGAATTTTGAAGAAAGCAGCCCTATCCACACATGCAGAGATAATAATTTAAGACTTGCAAGTTATTACAGTGCAATTACAAACGATTATTGCCTCAAATATTCGCAGCAAACCATATTAAGAAAGGTTTTCCTCCACTCTATGAACTGTAAATCGTAAAATAATACAAAGCAAAATGACTACAGATAAATAAAATCATTTTCTCAATCACCTTCACTAGAGCTAAAGGTTTTCTTCCCTTCAGGACAACATAAACAACTTGCAATGGCACTGATCATAGAGATGTCTCCAAATTACTATGCATTAACAGTGGCACCTATAAAAGCAATCAGACAACCCAGAGAAAACTCATGTAGCAATCAATGGCCAACAGGGATGAAATATAAAATAAAACCACAGTTAACAAACTGAAACCTTTTAGAGAGTGACAGAAGCTCACTTTTAGAGAGTGAAAATGACACCTATACAACCATATGCAGCATCTGTGACAATCTACGGTTAATTTTTTTCATGCAAGACTTCAAACTAGAAATTTCTGGTATGTGATGAGCTCAGTATTACGCCTAATATTGACCTGAAAATTAAGCAAAAAGCATTTTTCAACTAAATGCATGTAGTAAGTATCAATACAAATGGGAAAAATGAAATTTGTCATCAGGAAAACCTTGAAGATCATAATTTCCCAAAACCAGCAGCAACCTTTCTCCTCCTGCGGTTCACTATCGTTTCAGGACTTGGGAATCCAGTCATTTCCTCGTACTTCATTTCTAAGGCCTGTAATAATTTGACCAAAATCTTATTAACATTCTTTCCTAAAATTGGATTCCTGTGTGCTCGGTATAGACATGGTAGATCTTCATTTTGTGGACGGATGAAATAAACCATCAGAAATGTGATACATTGTCTTGAATAATCAGTTTGTGTTACTTTCAGAACAATGTAAGATATGAGTAAACACCGAATTTGGTTCTCCAAAGATACAAGTACCATCAGTTTGGGCCCAACAATAACATATACATGAAAAAGGTCTCTCAATGTCAAATATTATTTTAAAAAAAAAAAGATATTGAATGACAAATATGATGTCAAAATTCACATTGAAGGGCCATTCTGATTTTGATGTATTTATTATTGAATGACCAAATTGATTATACTTTAGTATCTTTGGGGCCTACGACTAACAAACCGATGATCTTTTTACAGGGCTTTCTTTTTAAAATATGACGAGGAATGGAGTAGCTTTGCATCATTAACGTTTTCTTCATTTATTTATTTTCTGTTTTAAGGAGGATCTCTTATCCTCTTAACTCTTTGTAATCATCTTTTCTTTGTCTTAATGAATCTCCTTTGTCCAAAAAATAAGAGAAGAAGAAAAACCGTGTATTCATTCACTAATATATGGAAGTAAACTTTCCAACAGATCAAAGATCAGCCATTAAGTTTCTTCTATCCAGAAAAACAAAAAGAAAAGTGATTCCATATGTAGAAATTAGATTTTCAGAAGAAATCACTCAACTCGGCCAACTCCATCTCATAGTAAGTGCATGACAAAACATAATTGCATTTCTCAAATCATGGCATACCTCCACCGAGCTAAGTTATTATGTGCAGAAATAAAACTATTTTCCTATATCGTCATGATGTATCTCTCATGTCAAGGAAAGATCAACAAGGGACATAATGACAAAACAGGGTGTGTTTTTTCTAACCTGTAGCTGTCCAGAAATACTATCAAGAACTTCTTCAGTCATTCTCTCAAAGAAAAGAATTCCCTGCAGATACAACAATTATATGTCAGCATATGGATAACCAGCAGGAAATAACATGAAAATTAGTTTTAAAAGTTTTGCCATGAAAAAACTCTGCCATAACATTAAGTGAATCTATATAAGTAAAAGAGAGAGCCCAAGGGAGGCGGGGACGTTCATAAATAATGGGATGTACTAACTTAATGATCCCCGAGTGTGTATTTGTAGCAATAAATGTAGGTTTATTACAGGTGCAGTACCACTAATACAAATGTAGTACATGTGAAGAGAGAACCTTTTTTTGATGAATGTGTAAGTGAGGATCACTATAAGCCTCACTATACATGCAAAATAAACTATTTCTGCTATTTCTACAATCTCCTTCAAGCTAGAGCAATTGCATACCAAATTTTGTCATAAATGTAGCTAATCTGAAAACCCCCGAGAGACATAGTAAACATATATGCTAGTTGATCATTCAATTTGGCAATCCTACTCTATGGTATGTGATACGGTTCTGCCAAGTAGAAAGTTGGGAAGGTGTATGAGAGGAAGAGGCACCTGGGATTATTGCCAATCACAGATGCTGACTCAGCATTAGTTACCAAAGCAGGGAATAAGTTGGTTAGGGTCACATTTTTAGCATCACACGAAGGCTAGGATATATAGTAGAGGAAAGACTATTTTGGGGGGATCTTTGGCACTTGGAACTTTGGGCACCTCTTGGGTGATTGGGAGAGTCTAGAGCCTCTATAATTGCTCTAGAATTATCTTGCATTATTTCCCTTTCCTTGTTAAATTGTCTGAGTTGTTATCATTTTCATATTGTAATACAGATATAGATACATCAATATACAGATCTGTGTTCCTTTTCCATAATCCATTGTTTGTTAGATTTATTTTCTGGTTGGTCTGTATCAGTATGAAAAACTGAAATGGAGAAAACATGCAGCATTGCTTGATTGTCAAATATCTGTCCCATCCTTAGTTTTAAAAAACCAGAGTAGACCAGTCAGTGGGAGTGGTTTGTCTGTGAACCAAACCACCAGCCAGTCTGGTCAAGCCTCTTCAACAGGTAACTTGAAAGTTGGCCATTGAAACATTGAACCGGATGAACTGCTCAAACCAGTCACGGTTCAAATGATGACTGGTTCAATCTATATCATCACAAATTATTCCAAACTTCAAGTGGTATCAATCTTGACTCTTTTAGTTTGTACTACTTTCTTATTTAGTTATTATGTGTACATTGTTTATAAATTACTATCAATTTTGGAATATATAATAAAAAATATATTTTATATTTACATTATGTAAAATGCATTACAAATATTTATATCATATAAAATATATATATATATATATATATATGCTAATACAATAATTTGATTTTTTATTCATAATATCATCAAGAGTTCTATTAATTCTTTACATACCTTTTACTCAAAACTTTACAATTTTATTCACATTCATAGAATAATTTTAATTTTAAATTAATAATAAATATATTTAAAATATTAAAATTAATTTATAAAAATTGTTGAAATTATAGGATTTAGGTAGAGGAGGAAAAAAGAGGTAAAAGAGAGTATGACTGATGGGACTTCCATCTCAACCGTCCCCTCTTGTGGAACGTTGCTGAAATGGTATTCCCGAGTTGCGTACATTAAGGGTGTGTTTGGTATAGGTTTTATTTTGGGTTTGATGGGGAAGTGTGGATAGGCATTGGTGTATACCATGTTTGGTACAAGTTATTGAAAAAAATACTAGGTAACTTGGAAGGATAGGAAATATGGTTTGTGTTGGTTTTTGGCACAATAACACTATTCCAAAATACACCATGAGATGTGGTATTTTGGATATGGATGGGGAAGTGAAAAATGGTGTAATGAAAATTTTCCACAATAACACTGTTGCAAATATTTCCCCGGTAATATTTCGGTCAACCAAACATCTTTTTTTAAATTTTTCTATCAAACTTGTTTTCCTACCATTTCTCTAGTAATTGCATTTCCCTGGTAAAACAAATTTTCTCCTCTACCAAACGCCCCCTAAAGAAAAATACCAAAAATGCAATAAAAATTGGTCACGCCGAGTGTAAGAGAGGGAAAGTGACAAAAAGGAATATTAATGTGAAAATGTGGAAAAGATGAGTTGTACCTTATCATGTTTTAATCCACTAACTTTCTACTTTTTGCATTTTGCAAGGTAAATCAAATATTCCCTCAAAAAGGTGCCCACCACTTTTGCAATCATGACACCCAAGCAAGGAAAAAGTACAAATATTTTGAAAAGGACAGAAGTGGTTACAAGGAGAAAGAAAGAGAGAAGAGGACAACTCAGCTAAATGGAGACACACGATTAAGGAAGGAAGAAACATCCAAGACAGAGCTTTTTGGCTGATCTCTTCCCTCATGGACAACACACCATCTTCTTCCCCGTTCGGTGTTTTCTTTATTTGGCAATTTTTAATCAGTAGTCTTGTTTCTGTTTTCTTCTTTAATCTCGAGCAATCTATAATGAGATCTCAAGTAGGAGTCTTTTATGTATTTTCAGCCATGTCTGCAGACATGAGCTAAGCTTCTTTAGGAATGGATGACTTGTGTAATTCATAGTCACAGTAATCGAAGTTCTGTTTCCAATTTAAATGGATTTCTGCTATTTGGTGTTCTTACTGATTTGTTTTAATGGAAATAAAAAATAATCTAAGAAAGGAACTTCCATTGCGAAGGGATTTCAAACTGCAAATACCAGTTGAAAGGTGAAAGTGTGGAAACACTTTCACTGGTTGCCTTGAGAATAAGAAACCACCAAGTTCCTTAAAAGTTTTATGCAGTGAATATTGGAAACGAAATTGCAAGGGAATGCGGGATTTCGTACACCAAATAGCCGAAGAGCTTGAGGAATCAACATTGACAACAAAAAGTGACCTGAACAAATCCATTGGATGAGGTGCTGAGCCAAGATTATAGCTGATTATTAATGAAATAGTGAATCCGTTCCTATTTCGTTTTATCGACATTCCCCATTTTCTGTTAGCTGTTATTGTTCTGTCTGCGTTCCGAAATTCCGAATATAAAGAAAAACCATAATCCATTCATTTCTGCACTTTCCAATTACTGCATAATACCATTCACGTATAACAATTGTTCCTATGAACTGTTATTCCTCCTATTGAAAGAAGGATTGAGATATATAACAATTCGAGGAACTATCAAAAAGTGATCTGAACTCTCTGTCAGAGTGGAAACACCACTTTGATAGTTAGGAACAAAAAGCTTTGGGTGGTTCATTTCTATTTCTGTAATTTTCCTTTGATTTTAATTTAGTTAGTTTTACACAGTTTGGCAATTGAAGATAACGATACTTTCTCCGTAGGACATAACTTGGGACTTAATACTCCCTTTATTACTTGGACACGTGCGCTTGTGAAGGTGCATCCGCTCACCAACAATGACCAACAATCTCTTATGTATATTGGGGTGTTGATAGTTACAAAAGTAACCCATATTTATATTAATTACTCCTAATCCCAATTAGAAAAGAGAATCAATCATAAAATATAATGAAACTCGGAAACGAATGCTAAGAGATTTATTAAAATACGTAACTAGTGTAAATAAGCTAATCAAACTTGTAATTATGATATTTTTTATACTTGTATTTATCACATTAAATCTATATAATAAACCCTCTTTGTGTAATCCACACAGGTACGTTCCATCACATGTCTCTCTATTGCCCATCACCTTTATCCCAAACTAATTGTTGTCATCCCTAGGTCCTTGGTTCATGGATTTTAGTGTTATTGATCATGTCTCAAGCAATAAATCTCTTTTCTCCAACATTTCTACATCTGCTTATTTGTCTATTTGTTCCAAAATAAAGTCCCAAGGGGTTGGTATTGCCCATCCCCTTTCCTCGCTTTCCGTCGACCTTGGGTTATGTGTTCTTGCTTTCCCCTTTAATTTTCTTTCCATTAGCTATTTGACTTGTTCTCTTAATTGTATGATTTCTTTCACAAAAAATTATATAACTCTGCCGGATGCATTATCCCCTAAAATATGGAGCTAGGAGGAGAAACTATATATTTTTAAGCTTAACCCAAAGAATAACCAGGGCTAAATTAAGACCATAAGGCCAAAGAAATAACAACCAATCCCAAATAAAAACGCAAGTAGTAGGTCACTATATTTAAGCCAAGAAGTTAGACCAAAGTTAGACCCATAAGAGCCAGACAAGCAAAGGGTCTGTGAGGCCTAATAGAATACCAAAGGGGCTAGTTATGTAACTCAGTTTAAATCTATGAAATTTTATTTGTGAAAAGGGGATGATAATGGGAGACTAAGGCTTAAATCTATGGAATTCTATTGGTAGAAAGGTAATAAATATAGGTAACTAAGGTTAGGTATTTTAGGTTAAGGGGTCATGGTTAAATCTATGAAACCCTATCAGTGGAATGGTATTGATTATAGGTAACTACAGGTTAACTGAGTATGCTTAAATCCATAAATTCCTTTTGGTGGAAAGGTAATGATTATATGTAGCTAGGGTTTGGTGGAAAGGTAATGATTATATGTAACTAGGGATAGGTAACAAGTGGTTAAGTGACTAAGGTTAAATACATTAAATCCTATTGGTGGAAAGTTAACGATTATAGGCAACTAGGGTAACTAGAAGTTAAGTGACTAAAAGTTAAATCCTTGAAATCCTATTGGTAGAAAGGTAATGATTATAGGTAACTAGGGTTTAGGTAATTAGAGATGAAGTATCTAAGGTTTGTGAGAAAACATAGTCCTGATTTGTGGCAGAATTTCAGGAACAATGGGAGATTTTGTGGTGGAATATATGATGAGACAGTTCCTAATTTTATGGCAGAATTTATTCCATAATTTGTGGCAGGTTTTGTGCCTGATTTTGTGGCAGAATTTATTCCGTAATTGTGACAGGTTCGGGGGGAAGGGAAAAAAATCTGTAAATAATTACACAATTATTCCATTTAAAATTACAACAGTAACCCCTTTCCTTACTATGTTACTTTGAGTTATCATTGTCTATCTTGTTCGCATTATGCTTGTCTTTCTCCCTTGTCTTCTATGCCTATTACTAAATCTCTAGGTGATGCTTTATCCCATCTTGGGTGGAGACATGTTATGATTGATGAGATGAGTGTCTTTCAGGTTGGCCTTGATGATAAGCTTGATCACCTCAAGGATCGTCTGATGATTAAAGGGTATATTTAGATTTTTGGCCTAAATTAAGGGACCCTTCTTGCCGATGGAAAATATGGCTTCTATTAAATCGATATTGAATTTCAGCACAAACGAATTAAATGATTAAAATTAACTTACAACATTTTATTAAAAATAACCAAGAACATGAAAAAGAATCTGTTGCGAAATAATGAAACCCTTAAGTAGAAGAGACATTCATGTGCACCAAATAAAAAATAAAAAGAGAGGTAAATACTATGTATACACAATAGTACGAGAGCAAAGTTGTACTACACTGCGTATGAAAAATAAACTATTTCTCCATTAGACTGGTGCAAGCCCAACCCAATGCATATTACAGATACTAAAAATATTATTCTAATACTCACGCTCAAGCAATAGTATAGACATTAACCATGCCCTAGTTATTATATATATAATATAGGTTAAGATTTTTACTAGATGTTCACCAGTATGCACATGTGTAATAATGCTGATGGTTCTCATTAACAAATTGACAATCTGCCAATATATTTTTAGTCCTTTGATGAAAAACAACATTAAAAACAATATGAAGAGCAACCTGATAATCATAATAGAGTTGCCTATACAGATTAGAGATCATAGAGTCGCACATTAATTTGCTTCTAGTATACTGGTCTTCCAAGAAAGCCAAGGATATACTACTTTTGAGAAAGAATGGAAGACTTGACTTCTTTCAACATTTGACTTCTACATAAACAACCTTTGCCCCCATTGAATCAGACCCTCTTATTAAATCAAATTTTAGGGTAAAGCTACCTGTGGTGGGTTCTAGAACTTCTACATTCCATCTAAGTGCTTTGGATTCCATATTAGCATCGGCATTTGAAGCCCTATCAACACTTGTTATCTATAGATGATATATTAGAGATTAAAAAAAAAAAAAAAACCACTTCCCATTAAACCCGACTAGCGAGTGTGGGGTGGTGGAAATCCTTATACGCAGTCTTACCCTTGCATAATTGCAAATAGGTTGTTTCCTGGATTCGAATCCATGACCTTTCAGTCATGAAGGAACAGTTTTTTTATATTAGAGATTAATATAACAAATTCATCTTCTAAAAATAGAAACGTTTTAATTATCCTAACTGAAAAGCAGACCTGTAGATGATCAAACTCATGCTGGAATACTCGTGCAGGAAGGCCAGACAAGTTGACTGAAAACTTTGTTCCGTTGACATCACGTGCATCAATCTTCACAGATTCTGGTCTCTAAAAAAAATAATGAGACAATTTTAAGTAGGTACAGAGTAAATAAATACTGAAAAGACCATCAGCAACATAGTCATGAAACAAATGACAATTAGGCTTTGGCCATTCAATTGAGCACAATTCGAACAAAAGAAGCAAACTTAAAAACTGCATATACAGGAGCTACGACTTTTGTTATGATACTAGATAGCAAGCTGAACAATACGGAGTAACAAATTTGAGCACACACCATTGCTATTTATTTTCTCAAGAAGGAAAGTAAAGCACTGTCCAACAAATCACCGTTGAAGCTCATCATGATAAGCACTTAAGTATAACCAATGTAAGAATTCATTCAAGAAGGAACTCAAACAAATTACAGGAATATAATAGTATAGCTGAGAAGCGGTGCTGCTTAGCTTTCAGTAGGAAAGCATGATCAAATATGATTGTTGTATCACATTAATTATTGAAACTCCTTTTCTTTTCAAGAGAAAGAAAATCTCAATTTGACTTCTTCCTTCATAGTTTGTAATGCCAGAAAGAATGAACTCAGCATTCAGCAAGAACCAAATAGGTGGGAGAAATATTATAAAAATTTAGTAAACTTGGGAAGTATGGTTACTGGTAGATACTTTAATCTTATAATTGAACCTTATATTTAAACACCAATAGCTAAGCTTGATTTGTATTTATAGCAAATTGGAAACAAGGATTTAAATACACCAATGAACTATTAAAGCTTTGTTTGGTAAAAGAGAAATAGGGAGCAAGTAGAGCAAAGAAAAAGAAGGGACCAACATTTTCCAAGTTCATAGGAGGAAAGATAGGAAAGATGGATAGGGAAAATATAAAATATAATAAAGGGATACATGTCAAACACCTAAAAGGAAAGATAAAGTCAAAAAATGTAGTAAAAAAAAGTATTTCTGTTTAATACCTTTACATCGGCATAAATTCCGGGGAAAGATAGGCACCCTTCATTAGAGAGTGACAGTTTCTTTGAGTATTTGTTAACTCTTGGGTTTACAAGAACAATTTCCTCACCTTCACCACGTACACCTACTGGATTGAACACCATAAGGTGAACATTAAGTCCCACTTGGGGTGCTGAGAGACCAATTCCATCAGTTCTGCGGAGAGAAAGTCAACCAATATTGTCAACATTCCAGAAAATTTCAAAAACTCCTTATAAGTACCTATTACAGTAAGCCTAAGCTAGACTTTATTGTTAATTCATTTTGAACATGGTATAACAATACAAGGTATTGGTTTCGCTATCTATTGATTCTTTGGTTTTATTCATAACCACAAAAGAGCAGCCCGCGCTACAAAGATCCAGCTATGGCAGGGTCCAGGGAAGGGTCTATAGTAGACAGCCTTATCTTGCATTTACAAGGGGCTGATTACATGAATCAAATTTATAATCTCCGAGTCACATGGCAACAACACCAATCATTGTGGAAAGGTTCCCCTTCGTTTTAATCATAATCTATCTTTGCTTAAAAGATTAGTTTCAACAAGTTTACTAAATTTTAAATCAGTGTTTTCATCAAATCCATCTTTCCTTTTGCACTATTTAGTTTTTGTTTGTATATTTTATTAGATGCAATATAGTAGGAATTGAGACTAAGTGCTTATATTTTAAATTTTGGAAATAGAAAGAATTTAAGAGAGTTTTAGGATCATTCTTTAATTCTATTGTTTTTGTTAGAATATCCAGATAATATCGTACAATATTAAAATTATATCTTAATATAGTTTAGAGTATCTTAGAGGATCTCTTAGGATTAGTTTCCATGTTTCCTTATATTTAATAATTTGTTTCCTTATTTTAAGAGTCACCTATTTAGTATAAATAGGGATTAGTGCTTTGTTTCTTGTAATCAGATCAATCACCTCATAACACACTATTCAGCCTCTAGATCCTCGGGTGGAAAGTCAAGTAAGTAAGGAGAAGGAGAAGGTTGATAGGAAAGAAGAAAATAAAGAACCACAAGTGATGGTCGTAGGACTAGATCCTCGGGTGGAAAGTAAGGGAGAAAGACCGGAACCCGCAGGAACGATGGTGGAATTTCAAATCGTGTGGGTTCCGAGTTGAATCAAGAGGTGGCAGAGGAGTTAAAGGAGTTGTTGAGAAAGAATGCAGATTTATTTGCTTGGAAACCTTCTGATATGCAGGGGATAGATCCGGCTTTATCATGTCATCGATTGTCAGTGATGCCCAGTTTCAAAGTCGGTTGCCCAGAAAGAGAGAAGATTTTGCCCAGAAAGGAGGAAGGCGATTGAAGAAAAAACAAAGGAGTTGTTAGAAGCCGGTTTCATAAGAGAAATAGAGTATGTAAAGCGGCTAGCTAACCCAGTACTAATAAGGAAGCCGGATGGGAGATGAAGGATGTGCACTGATTATACCGACTTGAATAAAGTTTGTCCTAAAGATCCTTTCCCACTTCCAAGTATTGACAATTTAGTGGATAGTGCTTCCAAGTATAAAGTCTTATCTTTTATGGATGCCTACTCGGGGTACAATCAGATACCGTTGTGGAAAGAAGACCAAGAGAAAACGGCGTTTATAACGGAGGATGCAGTTTATTGCTACAATGTGATGCCGTTCGGGTTGAAGAACGCAGGAGCCACTTACATAAGGATGATGACTAAGGTGTTTAAGGAGCAGATAGGCAGGATGTTGGAGGTTTATATGGACGATATGATTGTGAAGTCAGGAGATAGCAGGACACATTTAACCGCCTTGCAAGAAGTTTTCGGGAAAATTAGGAAGCATAATATGCGATTAAATCCAGTCAAGTGTGCCTTTGGGGTTCCTATAGGAAGATTTTTGGGATTCTTGTTGACAAAGAGGGGGATTGAGGCCAACCCGGATAAATGCTGAGCAGTACCGGAAATGCAGAGTCCGGGGAGTATCAGGGAGGTTCAGAAGCTGAATGGGCGAGTAACGGTGTTATCCCGATTCTTGGCTAAGTCAACCCATGTTTCACTGCCGTTGTTTCAATTGTTAAAGAAGGGACATAATTTTGCTTGGACGGAGGAGTGTGAAGTCGTTTTTCAGCATTTAAAAAGAATTCTAGCTTCCCCTCCCATCCCTAATGGGCGAGTAATGGTATTATCCCGATTCTTGGCTAAGTCAACCCATGTTTCACTGCCGTTGTTCCAATTGTTAAAGAAGGGACATAATTTTGCTTGGACGGAGGAGTGTGAAGTCGTTTTTCAACATTTAAAAAGAATTCTAGCTTCCCCTCTCATCCCTAGCAAGCCGGAACCAGGTGAAGTTTTATTCTTATATTTATCTGTTTCTTAGGAGGCAATTAGCTCGATCCTCGTCCGAGAAGGAGAAGACAACAATCAAAAACCGGTATATTTTATAAGCAAGGTACTGCAAGGGGCAGAGGTTCGTTATCAGCATGTAGAAAAAGTGGCCCTGACATTATTAATAACAACAAGGAGGCTTCAGCATTATTTTCAATGTCATCAAGTAGTAGTCAGGACCAATCAGCCTATCAAGCAAATGTTGCAAAAGCCGGATTTGGCAGGGCGGATGGTTGCATGGGCAGTGGAATTGTCCGAGTTTGGCATCAGTTTCGAAGCTCGGGTGGCAAATGACTCACCCCGGAAGAGAAGAAGTAGATGGTTGGTGGAAGTTGTTTGTAGACGGATCGTCAAATAAAAGGGGAAATGGAGTAGGGATATTATAATAGAGAACCCGAAAGGAGTAACAATGGAACACTCGTTAACATTAGAGTTTCCCACAAGTAATAACCAAGCAGAATATGAAGCAATGATTGCAGGGCTGGTTCAAGCAAAAGAACTCGGAGCTGAGTTTTTAGAAGTATACAGTGACTCGCAGTTGGCGACGTCACAGATAAGTGGAATTTATCAGGCGCAAGGGGAAATCGTGATTAAGTATTTGGCAAGAGTGCAGGAGTTGATGAAAGAGTTCAAAGAAGTCCGGGTAGAGCATATTCGGAGAAAAGATAATATCCGGGATGATGTACTTTCTAAATTAGCAAGTACTAAAGCTATAGAGACTTTGAGGACTATAATACAGCAGCGCATCCAGGCTCCGAGTGTGGTGTGGATGATAAAGGAAGGTAATTGGATGGATCTGATTAGAGCTTTCTTGGAGAAAGGAGAATTACCAAGAGATAAGAATGAAGCAATTAAAGTGAGAAGGAAGGCGGCATGGTTTGTAATATTAGAAGGGCACTTGTATAGAAGGGGGTTTAACTCGCCATTATTGAAGTGCATAGCTTTACTGACCACCGAGTATGTGTTACAAGAAATTCATGAAGGTATCAATGGACATCATCTCGGAGGGAAGTCTTTAGCACGCAAGGCTATCCAGGTAGGATAATTTTGGCCAACGATGGGGGAGGACGCAAAAAGACATGTTCAAAGGTGTGAACAATGCCAGAAATTCTCTAATATATACAAAGCTCCCCTGGAAGAGTTGTTCACAATCTCTTCTCCATGGCCATTTTACAGGTGGGGAATGGGCCTTTTAGGCCCATTTCCCAAAGCAGCAGGCGGGTTTAAATATTTGATTATAGCAGCTGATTACTTTACAAAGTGGATAGAAGCGGAACCCGTTGCAAGTATCACTGCTCGGAAGATCCAAAAGTTCTTTTTTGCGAAGATTGTATGTATGTTTGGTATACCTGCAATAATTATTACTGATAATGGGACTCAGTTCATAGACAGAAAGTTCTGACAAGCGGTGGCCGAGTTAGGAGAAAAGCACCATTTTGCAGCAGTAGAGCGTCCCCAGACGAATGGGCAGGTGGAATCAGCCAACAAAATCCTTACAAATGTCTTGGAAAGGAAAGTAGAGGGTTGTAAAGGGAAATGGTTAGAAGAGTTAGATAACGTGTTGTGGGGATATAGAACGTCAATCCAGTCTAGTATTCAAGAAACTTCATTCAAGATGACTTATGGATTTGATGCAATGTTACCAGTAGAAGTCGAATAGCCGCCGTGGAGAAGGAGGATGATAGAAGAAGAAAAAGAAGAAGTAAATAGTGAAATGATGAAGATTGATTTACAATTATTAGAAGAAGAAAGAAAGAAGACGGCTATTGTGGAGATGGCGTCCAAGCAGCAGGCGGCGACAAGATATAACCGAGCTGTAGTAAAAAGATCTTTTCAACTCGGAGATTTAGTGCTGAGGCGAGCAGATATAGGAAACAAGAATGTTGGGGATGGAAAGTTAGCAGCAAAATAGGAAGGCCCGTATACAGTGGCGGCCTGCACACATACAAGAGCTTATCAGTTGGAACACTTAGATGGGAAATTGATTCCGAGGCATTGGAATGCAAACAAGTTGAAGAGGTATTTCAGTTAAGGGATTCACTTAATTTATCTTTGTTATGTTTTTTATAATTTCAAGAAGGTTAGGATTTAAGTTGATGTTTAGATTTCTTTCTGATTTGAAGTTTATTAGTTTGCAATATTACTTTTGTAAATCTTGTATTTGAAACAAATAATACAAGCGGGTTCCGACAAAATTATTTGAGTCAAGAAAAAGTAAAGTCCCTTGCAGCCAGAATATGGCCTCTTGGGCACCCGTTCAATTCCTACTCGGAAGCGGGAAAAACAAAAGTTTCTTGCCGCCAGGACATGGCCTCTTGGGCACCTGTTCAATTCCTACCCATTGAATTCCTACTCGGAAGTGGGAAAAACTAAAGTCCCTTGCCGCCAGGACAAGGCCTCTTGGGCACCCGTTCAATTCTTACTCGGAAGCGAGAAAAACTAAAGTCATTTGCCGCCAGGACATGGCCTCTTGGGCACCCGTTCAATTCCTACTCGGAAGTGGGAAAAACTAAAGTCCCTTGCCGCCAGGACATGGCATCTTGGTCACCCGTTCAATTCCTATTAGGAAGCAGGAAATAATTTGATTCTGAATAAAAATTTGGTTTGTACTCGAAAAAGGACAAAACCAAGATCGTCATAAAAATTACTTAGGAAGTGTCATGTACAAGCTTGGAAAATAAAATATACTTATAATTTTTACTCAAAAACGAATACAATATTATATAGAATTGAAAAGAGAGAAGGCAATACGAAGGTTATATCCGAGTAATAGCATGAGACGAGTAAAAACAAGAGAGAGGAAGATAAAAGAAATAGTTAAGGAAATATTGTTTAATACATTCATTGTAAGTGGCATGACAGCCCAAAAAGGAGTACAAACAAAGGTGACATACCACCCTTTCAAGTTTCTTGGTGAGCTCCAGAAGCATCTCCAGAGGTAGTAACATTATTGGGGTCAGGATTAAAAACGGAAAATTCAGATGGGCGGGTTGCAAGAACAACAGTTTGACCTTCCTCGTCGTGTGTACACAAATGGCCATCTTTGACAAAGTTAAAAGTTTCAATTTTGTGCAAGTCATGGAGAGTGGTGTGCGGGTTGAAAAAGCCAACCTGGTCTAATACCCAACCACAAATTTGGTGACCATAAGCTTCAAATTTGTTATCTATTTCAACGGCGTTTTGCTCTAGGCCGGAGACCTTCTTCTTTAAAGTATCTATCTCCAGTTCTAGTTCAGCTACTCGGAAATCAGAGTCTTCAAAATTCTTCTTCAATTGATCACGTTTTTTTTTTCAACTCCGAGTAGTCATTCTCAGCAATCTCTAACTTTTCACTAGCTGTTTTAGCGGCTTCTTCAGTAGTTGTTGTGGCTTTTTCAGCTTCTTTTAGTTTTACCTGGAAACCATGAGCAACGAATTCAGCAGCCTCAGCCCGTTTTTGGAGATTTTCTTTTTCAGTCTTAAAATTATTATGGAAAATTTGAAGATCCTTGAGCTCAGTGAGAAGTTGTTGACGTTCAGCCAGAGCTAGGAGAGCCATTTCGAAAAAGTGCGCTTCTCGGATGTCATTATCCCGAAGAACAGTGAATTTGGATATAAGTTGCTCTAGGGAAAACTTATCCTGTTTCTCTCGAAGTCCTGCAGTAAAGTAGGGCTTCACTTTCTCCATAAAATTAGGACCTTGTGATTGAATAGCAACGACGGAAATCGGAGGAGTTAAAGGTTTATCAGCAGTAGCAGTATCTACGCTCTGATCATTTACCCGGACGCGCTTCCTTTGACAGAGTTTGCCAGAATCAGCTGGGGTTTCTACATCCAGCAAAATTGTATCTCCAGGAGCCAAACCCGTAGTGGATGTAGTCGGAATAGGAGACGTAGTAGAAGGAGGATCCTTTTCACCAGAGGCTAAAGGAGTGTCAGTTCGACTTCCTTTCTTTTTCATCCGGGCAAAAAATTATGGATCCATGGTTTTATCTAAAAAAAAGAAAAGAAAAACAGGAGAGAGGAGTTAGATATAAAATATATAATAGCATACAAGAAATACGTTAGTGTTTACTTACTAAGCTTTTTGCGAACCCATTATGAAGAATCTCCATTTTCTAAAATGGAGCGAGGAGCAATAGAAGCATTCTCCTTTGTTAATTGAAGTGCTAAATCTTTAAACCAAGTATAGGTTTCAAACTCTTCATTAGTCAGATTCTTCGAGTTAGTTAAAAATACTTTTGCAAAAGGAGTGTACACAGTTCCAGGATAATGGGAACCGAGGAAGTCCACCTTGATCCAAATAGAAGGCTGTAGGAGGTGCAGATTGAGAAGAAGAAAAAGAAGCAGATGATGTAGAAGGAAGAGCATCAGGGGTACAAATTTTGAAGTAATCTTCCTTAAAGTTCTTCCAGTTATCTTCATATATAGTACACCACCTAAGTCCTGGGCGAGCTTTTGAAAGAAACCCAACTATAACGGGTACTTCCTTTCTCGATAGCGTTTCAGAACACGACGAAAAGACAGAAAAAGACACGGGAAGAATAAGCGAATCCATAAGCTCGGCAAATTATTTCAAAAATTCGTCAGAAACACCAACTGTTAGGGTGAAGTTGAGAAGGGGCAACCTCTAGATGACACAAGACTTCCATTTGGAAGTCAGTAAAAGGTAGTATGATCTTAAGCTCGGAAAATAAACATTTATAGACAAAAAAGAAAGAGTCATCACCTTCCCCGGATGGTGAACAAATTCTGTCATTCTCGCTGGGTACTGCAACCCGAAAAGAGATAATTAAGGAATTATGAAAGAGAGGTATCGACTGTAAGGCAGCATGTAGAGCAGTCGGATTGTTCTCATAAGTTGAGCGAAGTCCTAATGCTTCTTCGTCAACCCATTCTAAACCCGCCAAATTGGGAGGAAGAGCAAAGCGAGAAGCGGGAAGCGAACGGTAAGGGCGATTACTCGCCATAGGCCTGGAAGGAAAGGCACTGTTAAACTCTAACTCGGAAAAGGAATTAATAGCTAACATGTTATCAGGGGGTAGTTGAGGACGAAAAGATAATCTAATCCGTCCGGAACTCGGCAAAGGGAATGCAGAGGCTCTATAGAGGGTAAAGTTCTTACGATAAAGGGGACAACTTTTGGGCAAAAAGAAGGTTGTTAATGGATCTAAAACGTCTTTGTTAGAGATAGTAATCGGGAAGTATTAAGAGGGTTCATAGTAGCAAAAACATGAACAATGATAATTGCATGTAACAGGAAAAATATCAAGAATTTAAACGTACTACGAGTTCTTTAGACAAAGGTATAGAAAGAACAAGAACAAATTGTAAAGCAAACTTACTTGGTAGAATGTTCAACGACAATGGAGAAGGAGAACAGAAGCCTTGAGGAAAGGTCACCACGAAGATAAAGAAAATGCAGATGAAGGAGAATGAAGAAAAGATAACGGCCGAAGGAAGTAGAAAGAAGAAGAAGAAGGATCAGTAAAATGACGAGTATAGAAACTAAAAGAAAATGAAGGGGTTAAAAGAAGGAAGTATAAAGGTAACCAGATGTTTCGAATTTCGAAACGAAATGATTGAAAGGTGTCAAATTGCGCCGTTTGGGAAAATCGAGACCAATGAAAAGAGGACAGGTGGCAGGAATAGACTGAGGAGGCAGGAAGAATTTAATGATAGTATTGCTAAATCGATATTATTCATGTTTAGATAAGACCAACCCATATTATTAACTTGGAGTATTTTATGTATTATACTCTGAGCTGGGGGGCTTAATGTTCCGAGTTGGTTATGGGCTTAGGTAAGCCCAAATAAGGCCCAGATTGGAGTAGGGTTAGCTGGGTAAGCAATATCACTTATGCCCGGAACCCGGTAAAGGAGCCCAGAACGTGACTTCAACCCATGCTTTGGTGGCATGTATGGACCGTACCACGATCTTATTATGACATATGCAGTGGAAATTGAAAGTAGGTGGAAATCGAAAGAAGAAAGAGAAAAAAAGAGAGAGAAAGGTATAAGATAAAAGAAGAAAAAAGGGAAAGAGAAAAAATAAAAATAAAAAGGTAAGAAGAAGAAAACGAAACAGTGAAAATCGAAAACAAAGAAGAAAAAGAGAAGAAAGAAAGAAGAAAGAAGGGAAAGAGAGAAAAAAAAAAGAAATTAGAAGAAGAAAATGAAACAGTGGAAATCAGAAACAAAGAAAAAGAAAAAGAAAAGAAAGAAGAAAGAAAGAATATACATTTTATTAAATGTATTTTAATTTTTTTAGATTATAATTCTATTAATATATATTTTTTTTTTAAATTGTAATTTTATTTAAAAATATCATTTGACAATGTCGGATACAGTCAAATTCACATGTTGGAAATGTTGAACACTGTTGGAAATGTTGAACACGTGTCTTCGGACATATGTCGGGAGCGTGTCGAGTGTCCGATTTAAGGTTTTTTAAAGTGTCTGTGCTTCAAGGCATTATATTATCATTATTACCACTTCTATTGTGTCTAGCGTCTAGGACATCAGCCAAAAAGTCCCAAAACAAAATATCCAATGTTTTGAACCAGCAGACTGCCCTCTTTTTTCTTTTCTTTTTTGGAGAAACATAAGGAAAGAAAAAAAAAAACACAGCAAAAGAAAAGGACTAGCTCCTAATTAATCTGGCGACAGAGACTCCCATCAGGTCCCTATTGACCAAGCTAATACATTCCGTTGGAGGATGATCAAAGATGTGTGTTTCCCAACCGTGGATGGCTGTGTGGGTGGCCATCCAGTCAGCGACGCTGTTACCTCTATGGATGTGGGAAACTCTAATAGACCAACATCTGTTAATAAGCCTCAGCAATCTGTTGACTAAAGGAAAAAGAGGATGGTTTGGATTGGATGACATCCTGAGTTGATTAAGCTAACCGCTACTAGAGAAGCAGACTACCCTCTAATTTCAAATATAGTTGATTTTGCTTACAAAACGACCACTCCTGTTTTGTAAGAAAACATTTCTTCAAAAATACACTAAATACAGTACATCCAACAAATGGTTCTCACTTGAAGTAAGAGCCAATATAATGAACAGAGGTGAACTAAAAGTGTCAACGGAGAGTTGGATACCGTGTTATATAGTATAACAGTACACAAATTGTTAATCCTACATTTCATTCATAATTCAATTAAAATGAAAAGAAAAAAACAGCAACAAATTTTACCATAATTCTACTCCATTAAAGCAAACATTGTAATACTTCAACAAGGAAAAAGCTTACTTGTACATTACGTCAAACATTTCGTGGACAATCTTCTTCAGATTATCATCGAACGTAGCTATGCGCTTATTTCTGGCCCTCAATTTCGGGTCTGGATATTGCACAATTTTCAGAGGCGCCTCGAATTCAAGATCACCAGCTTCAAAAACAGCAACAAAAACGAAATTACGGTTCGAACTTCGATCAAAAGCGATAGAGACACGTGGCGATAGGGTTCGGTCGGTTGAGTGGGGAACTTACGAGAAGCGAGTTCATCTCGTGCGGGTGAGAAACCAACCTTGGCCACCGCGCGTGGAGTAGTTGTATGACGTGGCATGGGGCGGTTCGCGATAGAGAGAACCCGGTCGAGCGAGGAGGAATGGTTGAAGCAGCGACTTGGAAGCGGAAAACCGCAACGAAGAAGAAGAGAGTGAGTTGGTCGGACACAAGTGAGTGAAGCCATGGCCACAAAATGAGGTAAGGTTGCAAGGTTTTATTGGGTAGTGTAAGAAATACGATTTTCGTCTTTGAGTAGAAAACGAATATGAAAAAAGAAATATTGTTTTAGTTTTTATTGGGGGACCATAAAACTCAATGGTTATACCTACTTCTTCAACATTATACTTAGATTCTGCCCTTCGAAAAAGAACATCGGCTCAAACAATTCCATCTCCTGCTACGGGATGTAACTCTTATGTCACATAATGAATGTATTTTGTTTATTCTATTTTATTTATTTTTATTTTTAACTTGTTATAATTAATTGTTTGTGGTCCCAATTAGTAATAATAATAAAAAAAAAAACAATTTCTATAGTAATAACCAATCAACTAATTTCATCATGCCCTCTAAAAAAAATTCATTTTATTTCATAGGGTATTTCGTAGAGGTAAACAGATACAAGTATACAATAGATAATTCTCCCTTTTGTGCTATTAAAACTAATAAAATAAAAAAAGAAGACCCTCTATTACGCGGTAATCGAAACCCAAAGATCTATGAACTAGTCCATGTTTGACTAGCCAAGCAGACAAACGACCTTGCATTTTTGTTACTTCTCCTGCCCTTGATTCCCATAGTAATAATTATTTTTTAGCTATTAAAATTAAAAATAAAATTATTTTTCAAAAGAATATTTTTTTATTTATATTATTTTCATGCTGACAATTTTATAATTATGAGATTAATTAATGGTAATTTTTTAAATAAATTTAATATATTTTAAATTTTAAATTATATTTTAATTATAAAATGTATTAATAATATTTAAATAAATAATTATAAACTTTTTATAATTTTAAATAAAATCATATTCGAATTAATTTTATTATTGTTTTATTTAAAAAATTGGTGTTTCAACAATTGCGCAAATATAGATTGCGGCTTAACTTAGCCAAATGCGTGTTTGGGGTTCCTGTTGAAAAATTCTTAGGATTTATGTTAACACACCGAGGCATAGAGGCTAACCCTGACAAATGCAAAGTCGTCCTCAACATGATTATCCCTCGAAATATTAAGGAGTTACAACAGTTGACTAGAAGGATAACAACTCTAACTCGATTCCTTCCAGCATCAGCACAAAAGTCATTACCCATGTTCAAACTGTTGCGTAAACAAACAGATTTTAACTGGGCTCCAGAATGAAAAGTAGGATGTACTGCTATTAAAGAGCATCTGGCTAATCCCCCAGTCTTAGGGAGACCTCAACCGAATGAAGCCTTGGTCTTATACCTTTCGGTTAGTAACGAGGCCATCAACGCGGTATTATTGTGCGAAGACACCCAGGGACAACAACCAATTTACTTTGTCAGCAAAGCCCTTCAAGGCCCAGAATTGCGCTATCAACAAATTGAAAAAGTGGCTTTCGCGCTCATTCTCACGTATCGTCGCTTGCGGCATTACTTCCAGGGGCACTCCATCTAGGTCAGAACTAATCAGCCCTTTAGACAGGTTTTATGGCAACCTGACCTAGTCGGACGAATGATTACCTGGTCAATAGAGTTATCAGAATACGATATCATTTATGAACCTCGCCAGGCTATTAAAGCCCAAGTGTTGGCTGATTTTCATGTTGAAATGACGCACTCCTAATAGACTCGACCAGATGAAGATTGAACCATCTTCGTCGATGGCTCCACAAATATTAAAGGAAGTGGGGCAGGAGTCATTGTTGAAATTCCTCAAGGCGTCACTGTGGAGCATTCTATCCATTTTGGATTCAAAGCCTCCAACAATCAAGCTGAGTACGAGGCAGTTCTCGCTGGAATCGGAATGGCCAAAGACTTGGGAGCGACAAAAATAAACCTGAAAAGTGACTCACAACTGGTGGTTGCACAAGTACAAGGAACCTACCAGAAAAAAAGGCTCTAATGGAAAAATACTTGGACAAAGTACGTTTGCTATTAGCTTAGTTTGAAAGTTTTAAAATATAGCACATCCCCAAGGAGAAGAATTCCAGGGCAGACATCTTATCTAAACTTGCCAGCACAAAGGGACCTGGAAATAATAGATCAATCATCCAGCAGAGTGTTCACAATCCAAGCATCGTGATGGCCGTTACTAAACGCAAAACCCGTCCCTCCCACGATGCGCAATACATGATCGATGACGATGAGATGCAACCAAACGATAAAGAAACTTGGTTGACACCAATTTGGAACTACTTGACTAGCGGAATAACGCCTCTAGAACCATGCGAAGCTAAGAAGTTAGCGCGCAAGACTCCATTCTATACTATAATCAATAATCAGCTGTATAAAAAAGGATTCTCTTCCCCAATGCTTAAATGTTTGGACCCCCAACAAGCTCAGTATGTCATCACTGTGGTTCACAAAGGAATTAGTGGCCGCGACATGGGGGTAAATCCCTATCCATAAAGCTGCTTCGCGCAGGGTATTTCTGGCCCACTATGGAAGAAGACTCTAAACAACACGTGCGACATTGTATTAAATGTCAAGAGCACGCATATTTACACCACGCTCCTCCTGAGGAGTTATCTTCACTCATATCCCCATGGCCGTTTTATTAGTGGGGTATGGATATATTAGGACCGTTTTCGATTGCGATAAGGGGAGTAAAATGGTTAATAGTCACAATTGACTATTTCTCCAAATGGATTGAGGCTGAGACCTAAGCCACAATATCAGCCAACAAGATCTGCCGATTCTTCTATCGCAACATCATTTGCAGATTCGGCGTCCCTAATACTATTATAACTTATAATGGCACACAGTTCGTGGATAAAAAATTCAATCAAATCTTGCAAGATTTGTATATCAAATACAGATACACATCAGTTGAACATCCACAAACAAATGGTTTAGCTGAAGCCGTGAATAGAGTCTTAAAACGAGGACTGGAGAGAATATTGGAAGCAGCTAAAGGTGAATGGCCAGAGCAGTTAGACTATGTATTATGAGGCTACAGAACCACTCCATATTGTACTACTGGTGAAACTCCATTTCGCATGATTTATAGGAGTGAAGCAATGATCCCAGTCAAAATTGGAGAACCATCTTGGAGATGGATGTATACAACTGAAGAAGACAATTCTTAAGCATTACTGCACAACTTAGATACAATCAATGAAATATGCGAAATTGCCAAGCAGACAAATGACCTTGCATTTTTGTTACTTCTCCTGCCCTTGATTCCCATAGTAATAATTATTTTTTAGCTATTAAAATTAAAAATAAAATTATTTTTCAAAAGAATATTTTTTTATTTATATTATTTTCATGGTGACAATTTTATAATTATGAGATTAATTATTGGTAATTTTGTAAATAAATTTAATATATTTTAAATTTTAAATTATATTTTAATTATAAAATGTATTAATAATATTTAAATAAATAATTATAAACTTTTTATAATTTTAAATAAAACCATATTCGAATTAATTTTATTATTGTTTTATTTTAAAAATTGGTGTTTCAACAATTGCGCAAATATAGATTGCGGCTTAACTTAGCCAAATGCGCGTTTGGGGTTCCTGCTGAAAAATTCTTAGGATTTATGTTAACACACTGAGGCATAGAGGCTAATCCTGACAAATGCAAAGTCGTCCTCAACATGATTATTGTAACACCCCGTATATATATCCGGTAATGTTATCATAATATCGTATTAAGCTGCGCTTAATTAAAATGTGGAATTACTTTTTCTTTTCAATTATGATGTCATTAACATTACCAACTTGCTTAATAATCAATTAATAAAACACCGCCTGTATGTAATTGCAATAAAACAGCTAACTGAAATACCTCATAACATAGATAATAAAAGTGTGGCTCTAGTCACGGAACTACAACAATGTAGACCGGACCATCTAATAGTTTATACAACTCCAAATCAAAAGCACTAACATAAAGTGTCATGGACAATCCCCATGCTCACTCAAATAAGGCAACATGCCCAACATCAGTCTCAACAGCAACATATCATAAATAGCGGAAAACATAAACAGCATCCAAATCCAGTCATGCTAACATATAAGCAGAAACAACATAATCAGCTAAGCTCCGGCCTCCCGCCGCCTGAGGCATCAGTACCCATACTACCTGATCCTGAAATAAGCATTCCCCAAACGTGGGGTAAGATCTCTAATCTAGAAATCTCAGTAAGTCAGTGAGTCCTCAAGGATCTTCCACCCCAAGCTCACTTACATGTGCAATATAAGTTCAAAAGCAGTTTATCATTTATCATTTCTAAAACAATGCAATGCAGCAGATAATCATGCCATGTGTGTCAATACTAATCTACTGGCCAGAGACAGTGCAGGTATACGTCTATCATCACCTACACACCGTGCAAGTACCACTTGCATTCACCCCGGTACACCGTCTTGTATGGCGCTACATACTCAGGTTTCCCGTCGAGATGAAACAACACATGCATATTAAAAGCCATTACATGTAAAGTTCAATCAACATATCAAATATCCAAAAGCATGTACACAACATGCATAAACCATACCCCCATGGGACATGGTAGAACCACAACATAGCTAAACCGAGGACACGAAAGCTTACCTCCAAGCTAGCTATCCAATGCCACAAGCTCAGAGTCCAATCACAGCAGATCACAATCTGATATGGACCAAATATAAATCAATAAACATGTATCACATGCATACAAATTAAAGACAACGCCTTTTCATTACGTTTTCAAGTTTTAAAGCTTCTAACAAAGCCACAAGCCCTTAATCCCATGATTCTGGCTTAGTCCATTAAAACAGAAGTTCAACTTCAACAATCTGGGGTCTACAAACCCCCAATAGCCTACTGTATGCACAGCACAACTACTGTTCTGCAAAATCCCAGAATATCCGGATACTCCTCGGGACCATATCCGGATATGCAATATCCGGATATCTTACTGTACATATCCGGATATGCAATGTCTGGATATCCAGAATCTCATATCCGAATATACAATATCCAGATATCCCAAAACCCCATATCCGAATACACATATCCGGATATCATATCCGGATATCGCATATCCGGATATTCCACGGGCAGA